GGGGGGGGAAGAAAGTGTCAATTAGTTCACTGGAAAATACAAATCATACTTTTCTAATGAAAGCTAAGATCCCAGAGTCTGTCATCATAAAATTGAGCAAACTTGGGTATTTGTGTAATGTAGAATTAAAACAAATAAACAAAAAGATGAATTGCCAGAATGTCTACAGAAACCTTGCAGTTCTGTTTAAAAACTTTTCCATAGATGAAGTAGTCTGCATTGCATGCCAGCAATAAACATAGACAACCTGGCTAAGCGAGCGCCCCAGTGTGCTTAAAAAACCGCCAGATATCCTTCAGTGGTAAGTGAAATTCTCAGTGCTCTAGTATCAACTGTAGTATTTAATTTCACAACTAGAAATCATTTGAAACTGTTTTCATTGAGAACTTAGAGGTCTCACCTTTTTTAAGTTAAAAACAGACTACCTGAAGAAACAGCCAGGTCTTCTATATCATATAAGAAAAAGCACCTCACTTTTGATGATGTAATACCTCAGAAAATACACCCTTTTCACATTTTGATTAACAGAAATGGGCACAAATCTAATGCTTAACATCAAATTGGCAAAGTCATTCTGTAGCTTGCATTTAGAAGCTTCAAAGCTCTCAAAGACCCACAGATTTCTCAGTGGTATGACCATCATGCAGAAATCTTTTGATATCATTGAAAAAACACACTTACATCAACTCCTCCAAATAAGTCAAATGTGTATGTATTTGGGAAAGTGGACTCTTGAGCAGCTTTTCTATCTTCTGTAACAAATGCCATGGCTTCCATTGAAAGAAGTGGAGAAATTTCCTGCATGCAGTAAAAAAAAAAAAAAAAAAGTTCAAAAAGAAAACTGTTCATCAGTATAAATAGAACTGACTATCTGTGCGATCTACTGACTAATCAATTACATGCATTCCCAGCTCTTATCTACCAGCCAATGCACAGATACTATCATACAAAGTTTCAAAAACTAGTTAAATATGATCACTGTAGACTTTAAAGAAAGCAACAACAAAATAAGCCCTAGCTTTCAGGAAGAACAGTGTAGGCAATACCTTTAAGATGCTTTGGCACTGGGAGAAATCGCTGTTTGGATGGCTATGTTCATACAGCTTTTGCAACAGTAAGGGGATCCCATTCCATTTTGCTTGTTTATCTCTTTCCTTTAACAAGGCCTCTGTGATCTGCAACAAAAGAAGAATGTAATTCCCATGTGTCCAATGCTTCACAACCAGGAAAACAACCTTATCACCTCCCCAAATATCAATATCAGAATATCACAGAAAAATAGTTTATTGTAGAGAGTACCATTACAAAATCCAGTACCTCTTTGCATGCAGCAAGTTATCCAGGACTGGTAGCTGCAGAATTTTACAGATGGTCAAAGTATCTTAAGCAGGACAGGGCTTAAAGCAGACGTTATCATTTAGAGTACTTAATCTCATTCCATATTTTTATACTGATAAATATTTTTAAATGGGAACACATTAGTCTCTATAAAATTCCATTAGTAGAACTCTGACTGACAGGTCACTGAAGGAGAAAATGGGTGCCTGTGACACTATCAAAAACTGCACTAGTCTAAGGTAGATAGAACACTGAAGATGGAAAGGCTTCATTACTTGTCACATTCAGCTAGTAATGAGTGTTTCCTCAGCCAAGTCCCTGAAGTCATTATTGCTCATAGCAATGACCCAAACCACTACGATTTACAAGCAGACTCTAGAAGAACGTATCAAAGATACAGCGAAAATTTCCTCTGTCATCATGGGCTGGTTATATATGGAGACCAACAACTAAATCAGTAGAACAGCGCTGGCATTATCCTCTGGGAAGCAGGCTGCAACCACAAAAAAGAACACCTTAGCATTTGCTACTACATTTGTGCAAACTTTCTCCAATTTCATCCTTCTCCCCAAAATATAAAAAAAAATTGCTCAATATTCACCACTGTATTTGAGACCTGGAAAAAAAATGAAGTAGCAGCACAAGGCTAATAAATATTCTGCTTAGAATCCACAAAAGGTGTTTTGAAGCCTGAACACTTCCAGGTTACTGCCAGCAGATACTGTAAAGGAGGAGATCTTCATTCAAGTTCACCATCCAGTCAATGCTGACCAAAATTTAACTCCCTTCCTTAACGATACTTCAGAGGTACCTAGACCAACCCCAAAATAGGGACTTATCCTTATACAGAAAGGTAAGGCAGACAACAATAATTATAGCCAGCAGGATTTCTGGCTGGTTTTACAAAATTTTTATATGCCCTCCAAATAAAAAACAAAATAAGACTAAAAAAAAAAACAACCATCCATCCTCAGGCCAGCAAGACTGCATCTCAATGCAAAACTTGTGGATTTTCTCTTACTCCCAGACCTAAACCTCTAAGCTGCTCACATTCTGCATTAAGTCACTCCCCGAACCTTTCTGCGGTTAACTTGCATTGTCTCCCTCCAGCCTGCTTAGATGTTCATTGTTAATAGTTAGCAGCCAGGAAATCTTGCTTCTTACTGTTTCAGCCAAGACATGCTTCTCATACCTAAGTGTACAATTCCAAAGGGCCATTCAATTCCTGATTAGGCAATTATATGCAAATACACCCCAATTTCTGACTGCGAATTCAACCCTTTTCTCTGCTTGTTAGAGAGCATACAGGAAGACCAGAAAACTGATGCAAGCACAGAAAAACTCAGACTGGCAATGTTAGCTGCTATGGGTCCTCGCCCTTCCTTTAAGTTTCCCAAACACTTAGGGTTCTTTTCCCGATATAATACCCAAATTTGTGCATAACTAAGAATTTCAAGGCTCTTGCAGTATCAGGTTTTCTTGCTATGAGGTGACTGAAGCAGCATGAGCAAACCTGGGACATAAAACTGTCTCCAGTTTTTAACTCTTCTCTGCTTTCTGACTTCTGAATAACAGTAATCAACCAGCACTGCTGGAGAATGGCACAGAGTTCCTTCTGAGGAGGCCATTCTCACAACAAATGACAGGACGAACCTAGAAAGTCAAAATGGCTTCTCATCATCTGGACTGTGAGTAATGGGTAAGCTCCTCTGAAGTCACAAATTTCCATTTCTCCTTGTAATACCCAGCACAGAGAGAGCAAGAGGAGCTCTACCACTACCCCATCTCAGGTGTGGGAGGAGTACACAGCCCCACGAGCGGCGGGAGGAACCGGATTAATTGCTGGGTAAAGTGCAAAGAATGTGCAGCAAAATGCCAGGGAAAGAATCCAACTCTCCAGCTCCAGCTGATGTGGAAGATACCACAGGCAACGATGACGTGCATGGGCTACAATCTCAGGTTCCAGTAGCACAGTGCATCCAAGTGCTCTCAGAACAGACCAAAAGCCTTTAATCGATGTTAAAACCTTGTCCTGGGCTTAATACCGCATTTGTTAATTGCACGTACGCTTCTTGGTTTGCGGCAGGATCCACCTCCATTCTCATTTCTGTACTAGTAAGTCCTCCTCTCCCTGTGCCGGACTCTGAGAGGCAGCCACTTGTGCTGATCTGCAGAAAACTTTCAGAACTGAAATTCTGAAAGAATGAAGCAAATGTTTCCTTGCTCTCATCTTCTTTTAACTGCTTTAAAAAAAAAAAAAAGTTTTTCTTTCTCTTGATTTAATACATGTCTTTCGTTTCATTGCAAGCTCTAGCTTGTGGTCCCTATCCTGTATTTATGAGGTTACCCTGGCTCTGAAAATTTCCACTGTGGCGGGGCTGTATTTGCCAACGCAAAGATTTTGGATTCTGTGGAGGTATTAAAATTCAATTAGATTGTAGGGAGCTGTGTTTCTTTACAACCATTTTGGTTAAAAATTGCATCTCGTGATTTCTGTAATAGCAGCTAGTCAACAGTTTTCATTTATAAGCAAAGTCAATTTCCTTCTTGCTCTTTTTGGGCAGACATTATTGAATAGTCATCAAAATTAGCACTGGGTCTTTCGGGGCCCTTTTCCCTCTCCAGCATTTTTTTGGTCTCATCCAAGCAGGATAAGACCAATCCAACACTGATTTCTCAGAAATTTTCTTCATTCACTGAACAGCTCTGGATAAAATCTCTGAAATCTTGCGTACAAAGCTTGAGAAGTTAGATACTATCTAGCAAAAAGGAGAGGTTGCAGAAGCCCAGCTGGTAACGGCGTAAGTTAAAGGAAAGGGCCTACTAACTGATGGTTGCAGGGGTTATGAACAGTCACGCCTTACTGGCATTAGAAGACAACAGAGTAAGTACCAATTACTGGGAAAACAAAAGAACCAGCGTCAAAACTTCCCTACCACCCAGGTACAGTAAAGGAAACTTGTACAAACACCAGGACACTACACAGTCATTTCTCAGAAGTTTGCCATAACACATCCAAGTTTTGAATCACAAACCAAGAAACCCAGGGGACGGCATGTTGTGGTTCTCCAGAAGCAGCAGGCCTCTGAAACAAGGCGGCATGCACTAGCTCAGGCCCGAGCACAGAGCTCCCAAACTGTATCACAGTCCAGAGTGGTATTACAGCGGCAGTTTACCGAATGCTGTTCACCAGCCGGGTGACCAGGTACCCAACCAGTACCAGCCATCTCCCCCTCCGCCAGCTGTGCTGTTGAGGACAAATGGCAGTGTGGATTCGCTGGAAGGGCAACCAAAGACTTCTGCGAGGATTTAACTACAGAGTTAAAAATGTATCATCAAGCCTATCCATGACTGCAAGGTAGAGCAGACTGAGTGGTTTTCTCTTTAAAGTCTCCCAGAGGACTGGAGCCCAGGAGTTCCCAGGAGATTACTCCAAAGACTGGTAACTACCATAGGGATACTTCCCTACTACAGAGTTCAAATAACTTTTGTGCATGATTTTTCTTGAAAGTATACAAAGGGCTGAACAAAGACACTACACACAAATCTAAATATTTCTTTTACATTTCTTTCTACTCCTCCTGTGTTATAAATCCCTTTAGAATGCCCCAGCATCCATCAGCATAACGGTCAATAAATAATTTTGAATAATACCTAAATCTTCATGAAATTATATTAAGTTATATGTTAATATTTATCCAAATCCATCCCTTGATCAGTTTAGTTCCCCCTTCCTTTCTCCCTCTCCGTTTTGCTGCAGTATTTGCTATTGATGTTCCTACCCATGACTGCTCTCCTCCAGGCACAGCCCCTCCAACAGAAGCGGCTTATCCTCCCGGCTGCTTTGTGCCCGCACCCCTGCATGTGGTCAGAACTGCGTTGTAAGCCTTGCTAAAACATTTGTTACTGGCCTGAGATCTCTTGTCATTATGATTGCTTCAAAACCCCTTCCAGTGAGGATTTTCCTTTCCATTTGTGTTCCTGCACTGTGACAATTTTCATTGCCCCACAAAGTAAACCTCTCATTTTTCCTAACCTTGTCTCCACCACTTTTCTAAGCTGTGGTCAGTGACACATCTCCATGTCTTCCCATAGTTGCTGACGAACTGAAGGCCCAAGAGCACGTGACAGTAGCAGAAATACCATGAGCTAACCTTCCCCTTTGCTCTCCAGAGTAGAGGTAACAGTTTTCTAATAAAATTGTGTCTTTATTTCACATTTTACCCTTCAAGCATTTCACTGTCTTGCTCAACACTCACTACAGGAGGGCGTTTTAAAGTGTTTTCTCTGATCTTTCAAAAAGCAAAAATAGTGACTCAGGTGTCCAAGCATCCTTCACAGCACTAAAGAATTCATGCTGTGATAGACTTTACAGCTATGACACATCAGTTGTAATTTTTCTTAATTCAATTTTTGTTGCAATCATGCATTAAGCTAAGATTGGAAGTCCTTTTAAAAAAGCAGAATTTCCATTCCCAGTATTTTCCATGACGTCTGAACTATATATTCAAATGTTCTGAAAGTTTAAAAGGAAAAAGAGGCACAAGATTATGGATCTCAAGAAACAGATGCAAGCACATGATCTCTACATATTTTTAATAAAATCAAAGCCTCTCCATACCCTTTCCTTCAAACCTTTTAGGCTGTACCTTTAAAAAACAGGAAACTAATATTTGTGCAATGAAATATTTACTTTTCCTCTGAACAGTAATAACTTGGGAAGTCATCTCTGACAGACTGCCAGGAGAATGATTATTCAGTATTTTGGGGAGTGCCCTGTCATCCCAGCTCTTTATTATATTTTCCTTTTCAGTCGCTAACAAACATGCATCAGTCT